CCCTCAGAGCCATTAGCTGCCATTAGGAAGTCCAGCTATTCCGAATCCACCAGACTGTGAGAAAACCCAAACCACATGGGGAAGTCACTGGTAAGTCAACAGGTCAGCTGGGCTCTTAAAATGGCTAGAAACCATTTTGGAAGCGGACCCTTCCGCTCTCAGCTGACACCATGAGCATCAGAGATGGATTGCCCAGCTGAGTCCTTCCCAGTTCCTGACCCATAGGATCACCAGGAAAATAAAGTGGCTGTTTCACGATTGTCAGTTGGGGTGTATCTTGGTACACACTCATAGAAACCAGAACACTGCTCAAAACCTGTGGAATACATCATTCTGTTGTGGCGGTGCTCTCATGGTGTTCCTGCCCTATTCAAGAGCTCTCCATGGCCGCCTATGGCCTGAAGTATAGATTTTAATGCTCTTAGTTGGCATCCAAGGTCCTCCATAATTTGGTTTCGGCCTGCTTTTCAGGCCTTATCACCTGCTCTCACTTGGCGTGGATCCATCCTGTGTTAAAATTTGTTTGAGCTGTTTTCCCAAGCACACAAACTCTTTTCCAGCATCATGTCTTTACTTATATATACTGCTTTTTCCATCTAAATGCCTTTTCCTCTAACCTCCTCACCTCAGTAGGTTGACATTCAACTTGTCCTTTGAGACTTTAGTCAATTGCCTTCCCTGGCTGCCCAGTCCAGCAGGGAGCCCTCCACTGTCTGGCCCAGGTTTGTTGGATGGTTTATTTCCTCTTTCATCGCTTACCCTGTTCTTCATTTCTTACCTCCTCTACTGGATCATAAGCTCCTTCTGTGTGTGCGTATTTGTGGCATGGGGCGGGGGAGTCAGGAGGACGTGAGGGAGAGGGGTGCTGGCACATAATGGAGTGTACAAAAATGTCCTGTGTGGCTCACCAGGCACGAACCCCTACAGAGCTACCGAAGAAGCATAGGCTTTAGCATCAGCTCAGATTTTGAACCATAACTGTATCACTTACTGCATGGCTTTGGGTAAGATGCTTAAACTCTCTGAGCTCAAGTTTCCTTATTTGGAAAGTAGAGACCTTGGATGAGAAAGTGCGTAAAGGGCCTACCTCAGTCCTTGGCGTATCACAAGCCATTACTATCTGGCTTGTGACTAGATATAGCAGAACGATTCATCAGCTTTCTGATGATCAGTTGTCATATCAATTTTGGAAAGAACTCTCCCCAACAATAATGATAATAATAATAATATACAAAGATAAAAGAACTAAGAAAATGAGAGCCATGAAGAAGCACAATGGAGCCTCTCCCTAGCCAACCCCAACGAGATTAATCAGGGTGATCTTCAGCAAATCCCTGCGGAGGTCTCAGTATTCTCATCTGTAAATTGAGTGGTGGGCATTGGAATCTAAGCTCCCTTCCAGCTCCGACATTCCAAGAGCATTAAAGAAAAAGGATGAATCACTCCTTCAAAATACCAATATGGGCTGGGCCCTCCCCCTGCCGTCCCCGTCCAGCACAGCTAAGAGCTCTTAATACACAGCCAGCCCCTCCTGCAGCTGCCACCAAACTTCAACCCCCTTTCCCAGGAGTCTCACAAGCAAGACTGATAATGGACCCCCTGGCCTTCTCCATCTCAACAGGGATCCAGATCCCATTCCCAGACTCCCCTCCCCCGAGGGGGCTGGCTTTCCTTGGACATTTGGCCTCAGTATGCTTGTGTATGAAATGTGGAGTGTGTTGGAAGAACCGAAGGAAGGAACTGAAAGAAGAGTTGATGAGTGAATTCTTGCAATCAAGGCAGGGCGGCTGGGAAGGTGGAAACCTTGCCGTTCTCTTCCAGGATTTTGAAAAAAAGTTGGTGTGTCTGTATCAGTAATAGTTATAAATCTCCATCCTGAGGAGGCGTGGTCCCCAGCAGCTGCACACATTCATAGACACAGGCTGTCAAAGCCTCGGAAGACACCAAGATCCATTTTCCTCCTTACAGGAGATAGGCACTAGGTGACCGCAAAGGACAGTTTTCTTGCCTCTCTGCCCAGAGCTCTCCACTCCTTTCCGTGGTGATGCTATTATTAGTATTATCAACATCAATAATAATAGAGACGTAGCCGGCTGCGCATTAGTCACAATGTTCCAGGAGCCAGCACCTCCTTCGCTCTCTTCTGGGCCGGCCTGGGTCCCGCTGGGTCCTCTCTCCACGTCCGGAGCGGCGCCCGTCCTGCCCTTCGAGTCTGTCTGTCCGTCCGGCGGTCTGTCTCCTGCAGGTCACCTCTGCCGCCGGTCCTCCTAGCTCACACCGGCTCCCGCTCTGAAAGCCGAGAAGCTGGCCGGCTGCGAGCGGGTTTTCCAAGTGGGCAGGGGAGGGAGGAGGGGCGCGGGCCGGCGCGCGGGCGGAGGGAGGAGGGGGCGTCGCGGAGGGGAAGACCTCGCATTGTAATCCAATGACATTGCCAACGTGGGGGTGGGGGCGCTGGCCTCGGCGCGCTCTCCGAGTTTTGGCTGCCCGCCCAGCTGGGAATAACTCTCTTCGCATAATTCGCGTGTTTACCAGGCATGAAAATTCTTGCTTTCGGCTCCCCCCCCAAGCCCCCTCCCACTCCCCCTCCCCACCACCTCCGCCTCTCGCAAGTGAAACTCTGTCTAAAAAAATATTGGCCCGGGGCACAGAAAGTTTTGCATAAATTCATAAGTGATGAATGGCTGATTTTAACGTTATTTGGGTATTTGTCAGACCTTAACAAATATACATGGGGACGGCGGTTCATAAACTTAAACATCTCAATATCCCCTTTCTTCTGGAAATAAATTACGTTTGTTTGCCCGGCTTGGAGTCTTAAGGTAGCCGACATTAGGAATATTTTAAAAGCCATCATCCATCGAGCATGTCTCCCAGGCGCCAGGAAGATTAAATGAAAGAATCATAAGATGGAGGTCTTTAACTTTTAATCCTTTTACAATGAAGCCTCAGATAGTCGCGGGGGCAGGGTGCCCTCTCTGGGGGGAATAATGCCGTTATTCCTCGGCTCTCAGTTAATGAATACCCTAACGTCTGTCCCACGGCTGACGGAGGCAGCGCCGGGGAGGGGGCTCGGGCTCCCGGGCCAGGCTATTGAAATGAGGAGCCACCGAGGCTGCGTCGGGAGGGAAGAAAGCGCCCGGCTGGAGGGACAGGGAGGGCGGGGCTGGGGGCATTGAAACTGCGCCGGGACCCGGCGCAGGTTTGAAATAATTAGCATAGATTCGCCGGGACTCCGGACGGGGGTGGGGTGGGGTGGTGGGAAGGACGCCGGGAGGGAGGTGCGGGGAGGTGGCAGGGGGGTGGGGAGTAGCAAAGGAGAGCGACTTTGGGAGTCCAAGATAAATAAAGGGAGCGCTGAGCAGTGTCAGGAAGCTGGCCCACGTGGAGCCGCGCGGAGGGCGCCACCGCGGACTGAGGCGGAGGGACGCACGCGAGTCGAGCGCCCGCCCCGAGGAGCTGGCGTTCTAAGGGGGTGGGGGTGATGTTTTGCACGTCCCTTTAGAGGATATAACATAACTTTTGCCCCTATCTAACTCAAAAGCACAAAGATCCAGATTCTGATGTCTCCTCTCTCCTCACCCCCAAGTGGGGTAAGTGTTGGGGTGGGGGCGCACCCGCTTCCCAACGGCAGGTCCTAGGGGTGGCATTTTGCGATCCAATTCGGTCCCCTCTGAAACTCGGACCCTCAGAGTCCTCCTTGGGTCTTGAGGGAGGAGGGGGGTGAGTGTCAAATCGCTCAGCTATCCCAGCCATTACCGCTGAGGGTCTGGGATCTCAGAGGCTCAGACTGGCGAGATCCCGGAGGCTGAGTTTTGATTCCAAGGGACCGCCTCAGCTCGCACCACCGTAACTTCCGGGCGTGCAAAGGGTTAACCAGGGCTGGATATTGAGGTGGCGGGGTGCGAGGCGGGAGGGGCAGCGGGATCTGGGTGGGCGCGCTCTGATTGCCCCCCCCATTCCTCGGGGGTCAAGTTTCAGCGGCACTCCGCCCCCAGGGTAGGTGTGAAAGACACGTGTCCCCATTGTGAAGGGCCTGTCAGGCAGGACAAAGCGGCCGCCCACCCTCCCCCCCCACCCCGCCCCTCAGCCCAGCCTGGGGTCAGCTCCAGGGGGCCGGCTGGGTGTTGAGGTCTGGACCGGCCGAGCTCTGGTGACATAGGGAGAAAAAGCTGGGAGACTGGGCGGAGGCCACGTGATGCTCAAGTGAAGGGGTTGAGAATATCCCCCCACCATGAAAAAATTGAGTGGTCACCTCCATCACAGCAGAAGAGGGGATGAGCCCCTTCTCCCAACAGGCGTAGTAAGCACAGCGTCACTCCACCGCCCCCCCGCCCCGTCCCCCCCCGCCACCGCCACCCCTCCCATCAATCACCAACACAGAGAATCGCAGTGTCGAGCGCAGTCGATTTTAGTGGTTTTCTTTAATCCTGCTCTGCACTTCTTTCTCATTTACTACACGGGATATTATAAAGAATAAATAGCAGATACTCTTAATTTACAATGATTAGTCATTCCATTTGTTCTCTATATTTACAATAACTGTAAAATAACATTGAACTCTATAGCTTCTTCGAGGTCCAAGGAAAACCAAAACACTTTCCGAAGAATGGAAAATAGCTTTTTAAAAGTCCTTCTACAAAAGTTCTCCCCTCTCTTTGTACTTTAAGAAAAAATAACTTTTCCCCCTTGCTTCGCCATGCGAAGGGCACTGGAATATAAATAGCAGGTTAACATTATTAGCAACAACCAGAATAAGTCTCTCTTTTCTCTGTTCTTTTTTTTCCTTTTGCTTATTTTTTTTTAAAAATACAGTAGAAGCCGGTAACTTTTAACGTATAATACTGACCTTTTAATAAGTAAATTAAAACTGGGACCGTATATACACACAGATATACATTCCTACACAGTTAAACAGTGCATTACATGAACCAGAAAGCTAGGTCTCTGTAGCCAAAAAAAAAAAAAAAAAAAAAAGTTCATTGAATCCCCTCGCGAGAGGGTGGTGGAACTGGTTGGAGATGGTGCAGGGGGCGTCGGTGGGGATTAATCAAGTGTCCGGGTGCGGGCAGGGGGCCCCGAGTTCTAGCATGAGCACTTGCACTCGGAAATGATGGGGTACTGAATGGGAATCCAGCCGCAGCGTTGGCCCCCGCGCCGCTGACAGCGCCACCGCAGCACCGTGAGGTGCACGGACTTGGACGGCTTGCACACCATGCCCTCGGGCACTGAGCACGAGCGCTTACTGAAGCAGCTGCCCACCTTCACATAGCGCGGCCAAAAGCGGCTGCCCAGGTCGTTCCAAGCGTACAGCACCGGGCAGAAGGTCTGCGACCACAGCCACATCTGTAACTTCCTCCGCAGCTTCTTGCTCAGGCGCTGCTTCTTGCCCGGGGCCAAGCCCTCGGAGAACTCCAGCCCTTTGATCTCGCTCGGCATGGCCCCCGACGGCCGCTGCCGCAGCAGCTGGTCCAGCTCGGCCAGGTCCTCTGCGCTCCCGGCTGACCCCCCGCCTCCGCCGGGCCGGTCCTCGGGGGGCGAGGTAGCCATGAAGCCCGGGTCGTAGTGGCCCCCAAGCAGCGAGCGCAGCAGCGTCTCGTTCAGATCCTTCTCCTTGGGGTCAAAGATAGGGTCCGGGTGTTCGATGAGGTCCACCAGGGGCAGGTTGTCGCTGGGGGCCGGGCGGATGTGGAGATAGTGCTGGCCGCCGGCCGGTGCCGCCCGCAGCCCCAGGACCACCACCAGGGCGTAGAGGGTGACCCCCAGGCTGGGGCAGCGCTCCATGCCTCCGGCGCGCGCCCGGGGCTGCTGCTTCGTTCCGCGTCCCCGGAGGAGAGCACGCCGAGCCCGCGGCGCCGCCGCGCTCCTCCGTCTCTCCGGCGGCTCACCCGAGGCTGGGCAGGCGCAGGGCCGGCAGCATGAGTCGCCGGGAGAGCCCTCGCGCAACGCCGGCTCCCACCGGGGCGGATAGAAGGCACACAAGTTGGCCGCAACTCCTCTCCCGGATCTATTCGGGAAGGCGGTTGCGGCGGGGCATCCGAAATTACTCCAGGGCGACCGCAGGCGCGGGGGGCGCCGGCTCCTCGCTGCCTTCCCGGGCCGGCGGCGGCGCAGGGCGCGTGGACGAGCCGCTCTCCCCTCCTCCTCCTCTCGCTGCTCCTCGTCCTGCCGCTCTGTGCTGCTCCGCGGGCCGAGCCGGTCCTGGGGGTGCTTCCCTCCGGCTGCTCGGGCTCCGCGGCCGGCTCTGCCCGGCGGACTCCAGCGGCGGCGGCGTCCGCGCACGTTGGCACCGGTTTGTCTGTCTCGCAGGGTCCAAGCCTTTAAATTTCCTGCACTTTCAGCTCCATCACCATGGAAACCACTGACTCTCTCAGCGTTGCCCCCTCCCCCTTCTTCCCCCCCAACAACAACCCCACCCCCCACTTCTCCACCCCCGAGGAGCTGGAGCGGCACAGGCTCCGGGGGAAGCCGCCTGCACTCGCCGCGGAGGCGGCAGCGGCGGCTCCGCAGCGCCCAGGGCTGTGCCCAGCCGGACCCAGATGCCCCGGGAAGCCGACAGGCCGGCTGCCCGCCGGAGCTCACAGGCGGCGGCGGCGGCGGTGGTGGCGGCGGCGGTGGCGCTTGGCAGGTCTCAGCGCAATTTTCTCTCTCCCCCACCACCCACCCCCCTTCTCCTCCTCCTGCAAAATGCACCGCCCCCCTCCTTTCTCCTGGAGCAATGCAACTGGGGCTCTAGGCGCCCCGCCAGGGCCAGTCCTAGGGAAAGCTCGCGGCCGCGCTGGAGCCGGGTTGGAGGGTGCAGGGTCGTTTTAGGGGGTGCTCGTGGTGGTGCTGGGAGGGTTCTCACTAGCTGGGTGCTTTGCGTTGGGAGGGGAGGTGCTGGGCGCTCGTTTCTCCGTGCAGTTTGGCGCAAGGAATTTCTCCATGTGCATGGAGCTTTTTACCCGGGCGCGTCTCGCCTTCCTCTCTCCAGGGCTCGGTTTAAGTCCCCTCCCCCAGCGGGCGCGCGCGCGCACACACGCGCGCACACACACACACGCACACACATACACACACACACACACACACAACGCGCGCACACACTTTGCTCTGGGGGAGTCTGGGAGCCGCAGTGTTGCGCAGCGTGATGTAATTCCTAGGAAGCACTCTTGCCCGTCTGCTACCCGGGCCCACGAGGGGGGTCCGCTCCTCACCCTCCTCCTCCTTGGCCGGGTCCTGCACCCTGAGTGGCCGAGCTGCAGGGGCGCGTCTGGCTCGCCTGCGGCTCCCCCAGCCCGCCGGGCTCAAGAGCGGCCGCCGCTCGGCTCCCTGGGGGCGGCGCGCCCTCTGCTGGCTCGCGGCAATCCCTGCACCTGGCGCTGGCGGGGGCGGCCCTGAGAGGTGGGTTTGTCGGCTGTCCACTTTGGCTAGTTCAGTTTTTGCTTCTGTGTCCGTGTCAGTGCGCGCCGCGCGCACGTGTGTGTGTGTGTGTGTGTGTGTGTGTGTGTGTGTGCGCGCGCGCGCGCGCTGCCGGGTCCATTCTGGTTCTGTCTGTTTGCTCTAAGCTCTCCAGGCTCTCAGTCTAAACAAACTTCCTGAGGTTCCTTGGGGAGCCCCTCAAATGTCCCAAGAACAGCACTGCACCTTCTGCCTCCACTAAATCGGCCTCAGTGGGCAAAAGTGCAGGCCAGAAACTTAAAAGATGAACTGGTAGTAAATGGACGTGAGCCCTGGCTGGGCTTCACCCTGCTACAACTATGTTAACCTTGGAGTCACTTTTGTGGCATCATATACCTTACTTTTTGCATTAGTGACATAACTACGTTACTCTTATGGGCCTGCCTTTCTGTAATTCTAAATAAACCTGCATGATACATTCTCTTCCAGAAGCAGTTTGTCTCCTACGGGAGACGGATATTGAAATGACACTTCCGGTTACTTTCCCCTTGGATGAAGAACTGAATCTAAGTTTCAAAACTCAAACTCAGTTTCCTTTGCAGTGGATGTGATTGGAGTCTGGAAAAAGCTGGAGAAGAGAGATTTGGAGTGGATGACTCAAGAGCATTGCCCAGCATTCCATGGAGTGGAGTTAGGAGTTCTCATTATGACAGCCTAAATCACTCTACTTTCTTTCCCCCAAGATAAGGTTTTTCCTTCCAACTTGTGCTGCCCTCCACCCTCCAGTTTATTGTCAGGTCTATGGAATAAAACACATTGTTTCATAGTGGTTCTGCAAAACCTCAGCAGTAGGGAGGTTTCTCCAGTTTCAGCTGAAAACATTCCCTTCAACTTTCAAGTCTAGACAATATCTAGAATTAGACCATGAAGGGGCTGCCTAAAAGGAAATCTTGCTTTTATTTAAGACAAACAAACAAACAAACAACAACAACAACCCATTGGTTGTCTGGATTGAGTTGATCCTGAAGTAATGCGTGACTGCAACCTGGAACATAGTAGGCTCTTAAACAATACTCCTTTCTTTTTGATGTGCTTTGGGGGGCCTGGCGCTAGTTTGTTTTCTTAGGAAGATTAAATGTTCCAGAGCAATTTTGTCACTGCTGTGAATTAACTAAAGAAAATAATTTTTCAGTAAAGAGTTCAAAGGCTGAATTCTAGCCCAGCCCTCCTGAGATGGTAGGTTCCAATTAGGGACATTTTATTGCGCTGTTCTCTGTTCCATCAATCTCCTCTCTTCTCCCTCAAATCATCTCTTTTTGTTTGAAAACCAACCCAGATCCTTTGGCCCTTTATTTAGGCTGGGTAGATTTGACTGACCATCCAAAAAGGTCCCGGGGGAATGAAAAACAAACCATGTTAGAAAATAGTGTGGGTGACCTGCTTATAGTGTCCACTGGGCGAAGGCCATGGAGAAAAACACAAAGGAGAAGGAACTTAGTGCTAATCACCACCCCCCATGACTTTTGTAGCCTAGTTAAGGGAGGGTATGACAAGCATATGAAGGAAGCATTTTTAAAAAGTGTGAAAAAAAGCTATAAATTCCCATAACAGCATAGACTAGTGTTTCACAACCTTTAAAAAACTCATGCCCACTTTTGATGAATATTAGTTTCATGCTATGCTTTGAATGTTGCTTGAAATTTTATTAAACATTATGGTGACCCCCCAAAAGTCAAAACAATTATAAGCTATACATTTTCAAACCACGCTTACCTTTCCTTACTGTGGGGTTCTGAAATAGCCCACTCGGGGAGCTTGCAGTCAGCCCCCCTTTACGCACATACACTTAGGTGCTGAGTGAATCTGGGGATGTTATTTGCAGAGACGAAGGATTACAAACACTGATGTTACTAATACTGACAGCAATACTAATGGTAGAGCTGAGCTTTGGCTGGGCTTGAAGAAAGAGGATACATTTATCTGAGTACAGAAAGCAGGAGCTTTTGAGACACACAATGTGGGTTTGCATGAAGAGCGGAAGCACACTGGATCAAGGACAACCAGAAGATCTGGAGAGAGAAGGAAATGCCATAAACAAGGAAACTCAACACAAAGACAATCTCTGGATCAGGTGGATCTCATCTGGAATTCTGGTCCTGCCACTCACCAGCTGGGTTGCCGTCTTAGCGTCTTAACTCCAAACTCCCATTTCCTCATCTGTAAAATGGGAACAACACACACCTCTTAGAATTGTGCTATATAAAGGAGACAGGGGGTGTCTGGCTTAGCACAGCACCCAGAACAGAGTATAGAGTGGGCAACACATGTTAGCTCTTCATGGGTGCCCACTGCTCTCAATTAGCCAACCATATCGGGTTTGGGCCAGACAGCCTTGAAGGGACTGGGAGGGGTTTGTAATCAACTCCAGCACCTTTGGGCCTACTTTCTGTCCACACAGCATGTGCAAGTGAGCTATTCTCTACCGCTGCTGGCCCTCAGAGTTTGGGGGAGGGGCACTGGAATTTCTTGGGGACTCAACAGCCAACCCATTTCAATGCTTCTGTGGCTCTATTGAAGGGGGGAGCTTGACAAGCAGGACAAAGAGGGTTGTATTTCTTCAAAAGGAAGCTAGGGTGGAGATGAGCCAAGGGAAGGCTGGCTATCTGCTCAGCTTTCTGGTGGGGCCCCCAGTGCGGGGGTGCTTGGACTTTGGCTGGGATGGGCAGGCCTCGGCAGCCTGCGTAGGAAGAGTCTAGGGAACCAGGTGAGTGCAGGTCCAGCCTTGGCTGCCCACATCCCGGGACTTCAGTCCCTGCAAAATGCTCTGGGCAAGGAAAGTTGAAGCGCTCCTCCGAACAACTGCTTTGGCAACTCCGGGCCCAGGGAAGAGGGTCCCCAAAGTGCTTTTAGGCATTTTTTTCTGATCTCTGGCTGATTTTAAGAACAATTCAACACTCTTCTTGTGTTTTTTTTGTTTTTTTGTTTTTTTTGCCCTGGAAATGTAAACCTGAGGCAGCTGTGGGTGATGTACAAAGGACAGGAGGCTTGATGTTGGAAAACCTGCATCCTACTAGCTGTGTGGCCTTGGGTGAGTCACTCTCCCTCTCTGGTGCTCCCCTGACACACAGAGATCAGGGGACCCTGAAGCACCGTAACAGAGAAGACATGCCAGCTGCCATTTTTTAGGCCTGGCAGCAACCTGGGCATATGCAAACCAGCGCCCTCAGATTCTGACACTCTCTCGGGTGTCATAAATGTCAAATTTGATGGGGGTTTTTTTTTGTAGTGAGACCCAAAATAGCATTTTTGGACTTGACCTAACTTAACAAAGTGAGGAAAAGTCCACCACAAGACTTGTCACTTTCTTCCCCTGATTTGTGGAAGAGCGGAGGTGACTTCCAAGGCCAGGCAGAGGGTGGTGGGCACCCCATGGTGAGCCGGGGGATGGGGGCAGGGGGGTAGAACCCTGGCTGGGTCAGAACTCACCACAGCCAGGCTGGCAGCCAGTTCAGCTTCACAGTTCGTTCTCATTGTGTGTGTGTGTCCAACTGGTGACAAGATTCTAGTTGTAATGGTGACATTCGAAGTAGCATAGACATTTGCAGGGGGGCGGGGGTGAGGTGGGGAGGCACGAGGCACCTACGGGAGGAGAGAACGAAGGGAGAAAGGGAGGCAGGTCACTCCAAGTCTTGGGCTGGGGTGGGAAAGCAGGGAAATAAATGTGA